GAGCTATTCTTTCCTTTCTTTTTAACAAAATGCTTTACTTCCTCCTTCAGTTGGCAACTTAAGCCCTGAATGTTGTGAGACCACAAATTTGTCACATTTGACATCAGGTCAGGAGTTATATTTTTCCTGTATCAGAAGGACAATCAGCTGAGTGAGAGACTCAGACTCGAACAGAATGGAAGGAGAGGGTGCCTGAGAGTCCTGATAGACTCCTTCACAAACCTCTGTTGAGAAGGGAGTAGGAAGAAAAATGGATAGTTGGGTACAGATCAGGTGGGGACAGGTCCAGGGGAGAAGGTGGGTGATCTGGGTCCCTGCCTGACAAGGTGAGGGTTCTGAGGCGGAGACTGAGCAGCTGATTCTCTCCTATGGGCTCCCCTGCATTTCTTCTCTACCTGGCTCTGGGCCCAGGAGACTGACCCCAGAGGGCTGCACTCCTGGAATTCTGCCTTCAAATTCCGGGTGGATTTGGCCAAAAGGCAGTGCTGAAAGGAGAGAGGACGTGGAAAGGGCAAAACTGGGGTCTTCTTGCCCCATGCTCACTGTTCCTATATAGTCACAGTTCCTGCTACATGAACCCATCTCCACATCTCCAGCTCACTGGAGGCTGGACACCATTCTACCCTTTCATCTTCTTTGGGCCTAAGGGTGGCAAAGGCTGTCAGGTGCTAGCATCTCCACATTCCAGTGTTTCTCTTTACCTTTACCTCTACCACTGTTCTTGGTTAATGGTTAGTTTTCCTACCTCCCCTTCCCTGGGAACCCCCCACCCCCACCCCTACCCTCTTTCCCCACCCCCAGGAAAATGCTGCTTCTTACTGAACCTGCCACGTAGGGTAAACCAAGGTCTCAGCCAGGAGTCCAGGGTTTGAAAGCATGGATATCTACAAGACAAAAGGTGCCATGTGGAGGTGGCCTGGAAAAAAATGGTGGGGAATGGTGGCCACTGGTGGCAATGACAGCACTATCTCCAGGAGAGGTCTGAGTGTCTCCTGGGCCTAAGCAGCTCGCAGCAGGTGCTGAAGTTCTTGGTGAGGGCATTCTTCCCAGTCAGTCCCTCTGGTTGCCGCCCTGCCTTGAGGGTCTAAGTACTAAAATAATGGTTAATGGGGGTTGGAAGCTGGGAAGGAGCCTCAGGCCACAACAGTCCAGGCAGAAAGGTGGCCACAGACCTCTGTGGGTGTCAGTGCTCACCATCAGAACCCAGCTATGTCCCTTGACAGGTTTTGGGAAGGACTATGGGTGGTCACTGAATCCACCGACTTCCTTGCCCTAGATCTTACCCAACCTATATAACTTCTGCCCCTGTGTGTGCTGTGCCCACTGCTTGGAGGCTCTTAACTCTCCCTGGTCCTGACCACATGTTCCTCCAACTACGGCCTCTGCAACCCCAATGCCTACCTACATTTGGTTGCCGTGGTCCACGGATCCTCTGTCCGTGCCCACGGCTGTGCACCTGCTCCCCCTTTTACGTTGGCCCTGCAGTGACAGAGTGACAGCGGTTCCAGGAGGGGGTGTGGTGGAGCTGTGGGGACATCGCCCGGCTGCCTCTATTCCCTAAGAGGAATGATCACCCCTTACCACGGTCTCTGCAAACAGCAGGGTCTGGCAATAGGCTGGCTCCCACTCCCCAACGCGGGAGTCGCCTCCCTACTACACGTCGTGGGGTTCGGTTCTGGCCCTCGAAAGGGGCCCCCGAATCCCGGAGGGAGGACAGCTGGATCTGAAGGAAGGGGTACCCCAAGGGGCTGGACTCCGTGGGCCTTCCAAGGGATGGCCGACGCGGAAACTTTGAGTTGTGAGTCCCAAGAGCGTCCGGGTCGCGGGGCCGCTGCACTTCGCTCTTCGCGCCGCTCTCCGGGCAACCCCGTGTGACCGGAAGTGCTCCCCCCATGGGCATGAGCGGGGCGGGGCCGGCGGGCGGCACTTCCGGTGCCCACGCGCCGCCACTGCCGCCGCCTCACAGCTCGCGGCAGTGACTTTGTGTCGCGCGGCCCAAGCGGCCCGCAGGCCCCGGCCCCGCGTCCAGCTTGCGGCTCAGCCCGCCGGGCGCGCGCGGTGAGTGGGTCGCGCGAGGGGGCGGCGGCGGGCCGGGCCGGGGTTGACGCCTGCCGCGCGAGGCCTCGGGCGGCGGGGGTAGAACGTGGGGCTGCCGTGGCGCTTGGGAGCCCTGGCCCGGTGCAGAACCGGCCATCGCAACTACGCCCACGGCCTGTGAGGCCCGCGGATCCTCCGCTTCCCCAGGGCCTCTCGACGGGGGTGGGCAGTAAGCTGTGACCCTCAGACGCCGAGCCAAGCAGGCAGCGCCGAGGGGGCGGGCTGGGGACGACACGCGCGACACCTGGGGAGCTGTCTGGCGCCGCCTCTGCCTCCTCCGCAGCAGAGCTGAGCCACCTCCCGCCCCCGCCCCTGGGACACACCCATCCAGGAGAGGCTGTCAACCACCTTGGCTTAGGCAGAAGGTGGGAGTCCGATGAGCCCCTTGAGGGAGGGGAGAGACTGCTTGTCCTGGCGCCCCCGCAGCTTGCTTTGTGACCTTGGGGCGGGGGTGTCTGAGTCCCTACTATCTGCAAATAGCGGCTCAGGCTGGTCTTCTATGCTAAGTTGTCTGTTCTCAGTAGGTGATTAGGGGAACTCAGCTCTGGGGTTCCATAGAGTATGGGGTGGCTACATAGCAGGAGAGGGGCTGGCCTTTGGTAGCAGGTGATAGGGAAGGGGAGGTACAGATGCATTAGGCCACTAGTGCTGTCAGTGTAGAGTGATGAAGCTTTCTATTTAACAAGTATTGGTAGGTCTGGGGAGCTGGTTGGCCTGGTAAAGGGGCTACCCTGGATCTCAGATGTCCCCATGGACATGCCTGCGACAGGAGTAGGCTCAAGTAGAGTGGGAGCTGCTGAGACCCACAGACAGTGAGGATTGTGGTGGCCAGGAAAGGGGCTGTGAGGTCCATAGGACCACCCAGAGAGAAAGTGGACTAGATACAAATTACACACATATCTTCTGCATGTCCATATGAGTTTCCTTGTATTTAGAACCTTGTGGAGTTTCTGACAGTTCTCAGATTTTTGAGATAAGGTCTTGCTATATAATTTAGGCTAGTATCGAAATGGTGGTGATCCTCCTGTGCTGCCTGAATGCTGGGATTTCTAAGTTTTCAGGCTTTGCCAATTTGTTCTGTCCTTGCTCACTCCATTCTCGTGAATGATACCTTGTCATCTCCAATTCTAAATATTTGCTCCACCATGTCCTAAGGTGTAGGGTCCCAAGGGAAATGAGAGTCCCAGGGATTGATCAGGCTGCTTACCTGACTCCCTGTGGCTTCCGTTTTGGAATTGAAGGTCACGGGGAAATGAGCAGAGTAAGTTTCCAAGGGGCTGAAGGCTGGAGAGGGAGGGTATCCCAGGACTTGGGGTACAGGTATATAAACTGACTAACTCCAAAGCCCGTTTTTCTGAGCATTGATTCTGAACCTGGTGTTGGGCACATGTGTGGCTGGCTGTGCTTAGTCCTAGGCCTGTCTGCTTTGAGACCTTTGACTTCTGCAGATGCTGGCCTTCCCTCTTCTGTGGTCACCGATGAAAGTCACTTCTTGGGAGAAGTGACATTATCCAGTCTTCTCCTTAGAGACAGAGATTCCACTGCTTCTGAGATGGGTTCTAGTTTGAAGGACCCCCTTGGCTGAGTTTGTCTTGTCATGGTAACTATAGGCTTTGGGGTTCCTTCTTAAGTAAGCACTACAATACTGTACTTTTGTGTGTCTGTGATGGCAGGATTCAGAGGGGAATAAGGGAGCTCCTGCACTGCCTCAGTTAACTGGTCTCAGGTAAAGGAAGTGTATGTCTTGCCAGGGAAGAGACCCAGGAACTGTGTGTAATAGGGACCCAAGGGGGGGCTGCCACTAGAAAGTCATCGAAGGGGAAAGAGCTCCAGGAAGGAAGAATGACACACACAAAGGTCCTGAGGTGGTGAACATGGGTCCTTTATATCACAGCTGTGAGATTCCTTTTGTTGGGTCCTCATATACAATAACCTGGCCTTGGGATCCTAGGATAGTGGCTGCTCCAGGTGGTGGGTCAGGCAGGAGGTTCTGCTGGTGTCAGGGCTCAGTTTAAATTTTCAGCCTGAGGGCTGGATGAGAAAAGCCTTCTAGGTCTGAGGTGGATGGCAGTTGGGAAACCACTGATGAGTGTTCTCAGTGCCCTAAGTGTTGGGCATAACTGCATCCTTGGGCAAAACAAGGCACATGAAGCACATATATTTCCATACTTCAGAAATGGTAGAGGCAAGAAGATAGACTTTTAGGAGAGGCCAGAGACTTGGTGGCTCTTCTGGGCTAAGTTCTGGGGCTTGGATCTTTGGTAACAGTGATTTGCATATAAGTAGGGGTAGGATGGTCAGGACCAAGATGGCATCTAGAAGGCAGGTGTTCCAGCTCTGGATTTGGTCTGCATGCATAAGGGGTTGGAGTTGGAGTTGCCTCATTGTCAGTGTGGGTTTTAATGCAAGCTGCTTAGAACATTTTGGAAAAAGAGTACAGGCCGCTGAGGTAGAAAGTGATGAGTGGGAGTAAGAGCCAGTCACTAAGCAGTACTCCCAAGTGTGTCCATAGGAATACAGGGCCCAGTCTGTGATGTTCTCACAGCCCTGGGCATCTTTTTACAGAGGGCTCCAGTCTGGCTTTAAACCGTCTGAAGCATACATTGTCCTTGAGTAGAGTTGGATGGGCTGTGATGAGCCGAGTGTCTGATGTTATCCTGTGGCTTAACAGTCCAGGACCCCTCAGGACTTGTGGACCCAGCCCAAGTGCTTGGCAGTGGGTTGGAGTCACTTTGGAAATGGCCCTGTTCAGATCTGAGACACAGATGAAGCTAGGTGCTAGTTGATGAACCCATTCTTGGCACATACCCAAAAAGGAGCTACAGAATCTTCACAAAATACAATAGCCCTACTCTTGAGACTCCACCAGAGGCTGAAGAAGGATGGATGACTGACAAGGAGGAGCTGTCCTAGCATCCCCTGCTCCACCTGCACCCCAGACAGCAATGGGCTCAGGACTGTGTGGCTGTCTGGTCTGCTGTGAGCCTGAAGGCTGGCTATCTGTCCCATCAGTGGGAGACTGGGATCCTGGAGCCTCTGGGGTGTTGGCATTCTAGCCCTTAAGATTCTCTGATCCACCAATCATCATGAAATGCCAGAGGGCATTTTATATTACCTGCTCTGGCCTAGCTACAAGCCTATGTCTGTGACCCACTGAGCTTTCCCCAGATGCTGAGGATAGTGAGAAGGGCAGACCTGAAGGTGGTGTGTGTTCGTGGATCCTCTTCCATGACTTACAGGAAGGAGCTCAGCCTGCTGACTTCTCAGTGCTGGTCTCCCCTTTCTTTCTCTGAAGAGACCAGCTGAGCTGCCTATCCCCTTCTCCTGCCCATCGAAGGCCCACAGTGTGTCTGTGCTGGGGCCTCACATCTGACAGTTCTGCTTGCCTGGCCCATGTGTGCAGAGGACTGGGTAAGCTCTGCACTGTCTGTGCTCATAGGTTACACTCATCCCTTTCTGCAAAGTGCAGACTACTTTGGAGTGTGTTACCTGAACTCCATGTGCCTCATGGTCCTTCTGGGTAAAGCCTGGTGGTCAGTGCTTAACTTACCTCAGGAAAAGAAAGCAGCTCTCACTAGGTGTGTGGTTGTTGGTGAGAAAAAGTGGGGGCTGCATCCCATGGGCTCACTGGGAGAGGGTCTTTGGCAGCACCTGAATGTGCATGTTACAAATAGAGGATGGCAGACAAAGTGGTCCTCCCACTGCCTCAGTGACTTCACTGCATCTCCCATCTGTGTTTCAGGCTGAGTGAAAGCTTGCTCTCAGGGACGATGGCAGCCCTTCATACCATTCTGGATTCACCAGCTACCCAGCTTGAGAGGGTGGAGGACGGGTCTGAATGTGATCCTGACCAGGAGGAAGAGGAGGAGAAGGGGAAAGATATGGAGGAGGTGGAAGAGGAGGAGGAAGAGGAGGAAGAAGAAGAGGAAGAGGAGGAGGAGGAAGAGGAAATAGTTGTAGAAGAGGAGGAGGCAGAGGAAGTGGCAGAGGTCGTGGAGGAAGCCGAAGTGCAGGAGGTGGCAGAGGTGGAGGTAGAGGCAGAGTTTGAGGGGGACAACGATGATGACGAGGAGGAGGAAGAAGACGGCGATGACAGTGACAACCACGATGTAGAGGAAGTACTGGCAGGGGAGCAGAGTCCAGGGCTCGGGATCCAAGAGCAACTTAGCCATGGTGGTGATGCCAAGTCCCCAGTTCTGGCAAAGGGTAAGAAAAAGGATCCAGACTCTGGGAAAGGAAATGAAAGGCCAGGTCTGGGACTTGGCTAGACCAGGGAAAGTTCTGAAGCTGGAGCTAGAGTGACAGAACCCTTTGATTTTTTTTTTTTT